GAAAACTGTTTGTGGTATAGAACATCAATGTATCATGATAAAAATTGAGAATGTAAAGTCTAAAAAGGCCTGTGGAGCTCAAAGAAGTGTTTTGTAATACATGGCAAGATTTGCTATATGTGCATACTAAATATTTTAATAAATAAAGTTGTGGTTTTACTGTTGTAGTTCTAAAATGCAATAATGGAGATTACAAAAAAAATTGGATTAGTTGTAATGAATCTAATCAAGTGTGTTTTATTGGGGGAGGAGTTTGCATATGGTAATCAACTTTGAGGAATCAGAAATATCAAAGTTCTCATGAAACTCATTCCTGGAGAGAATTGTTCAAGGAGTTTAACTTAGTTATATCTCATCCAAGTACTTACCAGATATGCTCTGAAGAAAAAACAAAGTGACTGTCTTATTTAGGGGCTTGTGATATGCAAGAAAATATGGTAGTACGGTAGACATTACTTCATGCCTAAGTCTTGGTCTTGATAGGTCAGTGTGTCTGCCACTCCCACCCAAGTACATTGTGGCCAGATGCAATCTCTCTGTTCAAACACTAGCAAGCAGCCAGGAGTAGTACCCCTTTTCAATACTCAGTGCCAAGTCAAAACAAAGGAGATCCAGTGGAGATTAGCTGAAAGCAAAGTGCCAAAATGGGGTCTCTGGTAATGCTCCCTCTACCTGCCAATATTATGAAGAACTGAGTTGCATTTTTGCATGTGATGCCACCATCAAAGCCAAGAATGCAATGGTGGATTAGAGCCACAGAGAACATGAAAAACACCCAAGACTGCATGGCAAGCACTAGGGGTGTGCAAAGCTTTGGTTGCCAATTTGATTCAGAGAAGATTTGGCAAATCGGGAGACAAAACCCCCCTGCTCTGAATCGATTCAGAGCCTCCGAATCAATTTGGAAAAAGATTCACAGATTTGGCGATTCAGAAGGCAGTCTTGCAGGTGAACAAAAACTGAGGAGGAGGAGGGGGAATTGGAGGGGAGGACTGACATCTGTAGTTGGCCAGTGACTAATCTTTCCTGAGTCCCCTTCCAATCACAGAGCTCTGGGGGTGGGATGTAGAAACAGCATATAAGCTTCTGTCTGCAGCCTTTCTGTCCCTCTTGTGAGCTGTTCCTGCCTGAGCAAAAGAGGGCCAGGCGGCTGGCCCGGAAACGGGTGAGCAGGCAGAGATCTAACCGACACCGGGAAGGCCCCCTGTTACAGGCTACCATCCCTGCTGTTTTCATCCCACTGCGCCTTAACACGCACACAGTCCCACATATCATGAATTTTGCTTTCAGAAGCTTGAGGTGCAGCTTCCCAGAACCCCTTGTGCCTATCTCCATGAAACTTGGCAGGCTGTATGCCCTGAGAAGGGGCTTCCATCCCTGTTGTTTTCATCCAAATCTGCCAAAAAATGGCAAAGTTATAGGTATTTCAGTGATTCTCCATTATAGTCTATTTCTGAATCCCTCCGAATCAGTGCCAAATCTTCCGAAGCCGATTCGGCCGAATCGATTCAGGACAGTGATCTGAATCTCCAAATCAAATCACTGTCCTCCAAATTGGCTGTATCCAAACCGAATACTTCCTTATTTGCACAGGCATAGCAAGCACCCAGCAGACCACCAGTAGAACTTTTTGATTTGGGCAACATACAGAAAATTATTGGGGCAGCCGGGAACCCCTTCTGCCCAGCATGTTCTTCGTGGCATCTGTGGTGGAGACTTAAAGCTTTTCTAGTCTTTTCCCTCTGTGGGATTGAATCTCATTGCCATTGATCATATCCTACATCTGTGCCCACTCTCTTGCACAGCTGATTTCTAATCATGCTCCCATTATCCTCTGTTTTATACCCTTTTGCTTTCAAAATGGCATCTCTGCTAAAGGTGTAAAGATTTACTTCTCTGCTATGAGAAACACCACAGTTATGAGTTACACTTACTGCTTTCTTCCCAAGCTTTTCCTGTAGTGTCTCTCTCCACCTCCCTCCACTAGCTGCAGAGTTTTCTCGCTCCCATTTTGCTCTGCTGTGAGCACTTTTAAAGTTTAAAAAATTGAAAGTTTTAAAAGTTTAAAACAATTATCATTGTTTTAATCACAGATATGGAAAGTTTGGGGATTTTTAAAGCTCATTAGAGAAGTTACATTGATTCACAGCTTTGTAGGGCACTCAGCTTTTCACAGAGCTTTAAAATTTGAAGTAAATGTCTCAGATTAGGCATTGGATACCTTTTAGAATGCATAAATATTTTAAGATGTCATAATATCCTGATTTTATAAAATTAACTCCAGAATTCTATTAATTTTGCAGTGTTCTTTAAACTGATCTGTGGGAAACAAAAGCACTACTCAAGGCAGAGGTAGTGCTCCGTTTTGGCATGAGCATGAAAAGTTAAAGCAGCTCTCTTAGGAGTATCTATGCATCTAGCGTAACCCTTGTGCTCCTGTCTAGCTGGAACAAGTTATCTTGATAAAGAGCAGAATTCCTGTATTGTTGATATATACATTGCCTTTTTGAACAGGGCTCCTCTTTGTCTTTTGAGAGTTTGTCTCAAGGTAATATCTTCTAAGATGAGAAGAATGCATGCAATTACTAAACAATACCCTGTCTCCTTCCATGCATCTTTAAAAAGAGAGAGAGAGAGAGGGAAGTATCCAGAGATCCACTGTGCTGGCACTGATTCATATGAATATTAAAGTAATGAGTCATGCATACAGCCCCAACTCTCACATACTTCCCAGAAAAAATACAAGATGGATATAGTATGAGTTGTTTGGAAAAAACCCTTGCCATCTTCCTAGGAAAGTACAGACTGGGCAGAGATGGTAGAAACAGCATTCCAAAGTGTAGGAAAATTAGTGTTTTATTATTGTGGGAATACAGACTGTAAGGGATAGAACAATAAGTAGTTATACTTTTCCTGATTTTTTTTTTTTTTTTTTTTTTTTTTTCTCCCTTAATATCTGTTAACTGCAAAGAAAGCAGTTATCTTCAGAGTATCTGTCAGATCTTGGGAATGGAGAAGGTGGACATGGACTAAAGAAGATGTGGTCCATTAACTATTCAGTTTGTTATGACTGAGGGATCATAAAGACAGATCTGTGCAGAGAAGGTTTCATGGAATGTTTTCAAAATATCTAAAATGTAGGCTAGATTCTTAAGAAAGGTATGCATAACCTTGGAAAGGAACAAAATGTAATCATTGCAGAGAACAAAACAGCTATGACAGTATCTCTTATTTCAAGAGACAA